CAGCTCCAATCAGCCCATTCATCGCTCTGCTTTGGAACTGGGCCGTCATTTCCACTCCCTGACTCTTATCTATAAAGAACGTCTTCCTCCTATTTAACTCAAGTTGCAGGTTTCCCAATGGAGATGGAAGTTCATTCAGTCTGTGGTCTAAACCTCATTCCCTTCTTTTGCAGTGTCAGGATCTGGTACTGGATAGAAACCAATGGGCCGTGGGGTAATTTGAGTTGGGTCACCCTGGAGGGGAAGATAGAGGGAAGGGATGTCTTTCTAGAAACTGAATCTATTCCCATTCTCAGATTCACCAGTATTCTCTAGTATTGAGTACTTCCTGAAACTCCCTCCTGCCCTCCCCACCCTCCCCACTAAATTTTCCATGATGAAAACTGGTGTGTGTTGGTGTGGATTCTGAAAAGCCAGTGCCCAGGGCTCAATGTCCAATGTCTGCTCAAGGCAGCCAGTACCATCAGCTCTAAAGCCCTCTGTCTCTCCCTGTCTCAGCTCTCAACTGGGTCGTCTGTGCTCATCTTGCCTTTGGCAAAGGCTGGGAAGTCTGTTTCTGATCCCAATCTGGCGGCTGGGGAGAGGCATGGTGACAATACAAGTCCCTCAGAGACCGGCATTTGGAAGGGGTGGGTGTGGCTGGGACTGGGGAGCCTAGAGTTTACTGCTCTTGGCGGAGTTGATGTCCAGTAGGTGGCCAGAGTCTCGGAGGTTAGAGCAGTGGGAACCACTGGGAGCTGGAGGGAGGGCTGGAGAGTTGAAATGGGGTGCGGGAGGGAAGAGATGAGGAGGCACCGGGAGGAGGAGAGGCAGGAGTTTCTGGTAAGCCCCAAAGAGAGTGACAGGGATCAGAGGCTAACTGGAAGGGGGCAGGGTTGAAGGTCATTCTGTGTATTTTGGTAAGATTTGATTATGATTATACCTCGAGATACCCGAGGTATGGAATTTTGCTCATTTCTTTGTGGAGTCTTAGCTAGCTTTTAAAAAATCTTGTCCTTCCCAGAGTTCATTCGGGGCTTTGGCCTGCTGCCTGGGATGCCTGTGGAAGGGGGGGTAGGTTCTAATTTTTTTTTCCCCCTGAGTTTATTTAAGTAATCTCTACACCCAGTGTGGGTCTCGAACTCACTACCCTGAGATCAAGAGTTGCATGCTCTTCCTACTGAGCCAGCCACATACCCCAAGTTCTAATCTTTAAAAGTACCAAGGAGAGACTGGTGCTCAGAAAAGAGGCACTTGATTGGATTTCAGAGAGGTGGGCAGGGCTAGAGCCCCACTCATGCTGGTATTGTCCCTAAGAGGAACTTCTGAGGTTCCAAGGAATTGGGAGAGTCATGAGTGGCTGAACTTTCAGCTCAGACTTGATTCCTGCTCTCAATCTGGGGACCAGGGGCTGAGGGGGCTGCAGGAGGCAGCCTGATGAGGAAGGTTGAAGAGTAAAAAATTATACATAGGAGGTGGCTTGGTGGGAGTGAAGTAAAAATGGGTGCCTATGGAGCCAGCCAGCCATCCTGACTACCAGTTCTGAGCAGCAGAAGGAGGGGAAAGGGAGAAGGGAGACAAGATGATGTTAGTAAAGGTGAAACAGCATTTCAGGAGCAGTATCATGACCCCTCCCTCCGTGCAGGTTTTCTTACCTTGACTATGCAGAGGGCAGCCCATCCTGGGACTGAAGGCTGAACCCTCTCTTCCAAGGTCTGGGGTGATCCCATGCCTGTGACCGAGTGTGCTCAGATCCTTGGGGTGGGGGACTATGGGAGGGCTTTGAGGGGCATAGGCTATCCTGGCTGGAAGAGCACTGGGTCAGGAGGATTTGAGTGGAGGGTTTGGGCGCTGGGAACCAGGAAGAGCGGGGGAAGGGGCAGAGCTCACTCCAGAGGCGGATCTGCTGGCCAGGACAGAGGACAAGAGGGTGTATTGTCCAACCGGGAGGTTGCTGCAGCTGGGCGTGGAGCAGCACAGCTTGCTGCTTCCAAACTCCTTTCTGGGGAGGCGGGAGGGTGAGGAAAGTCGAGTCCCCCCTTCGCTTGTGGCCCTGGGGGCTATGACGGTTGCCAAGAAACAAGGTTTTATTTGAGAAATAATGCTTCCCAGGAGCAGATGTGTAGCTCTCCCACTTCCTGAGAAACCAGATGCTGTGAGCTTGCTTAGTACTTTAGGTGACGCCTTTGGCACTAACTGGGACCCTCATTGCCTTGGGATCCAGAGCCTAGTGCTTGATTCTGTTTAGGAGAGTCTAAGCTATGTGGACCTACTCAGGATCCGAGCAGCCTAGAAGTGACGCTTGTGAAGTAGGATGCCATACCTGTACCCTTCTGGTCATTCAAGATTTACGGCAGGTTGACAGGGTACACCAGGGTCCTGGGATCTACTTCTGAAGATGGGAGGGGGGTGGCGGGAGGTAGTACCAGCGCCTACCTTTCCCTTGGATTTAGAATACCCTCTTGGGACATAGTACAAGGGAACTTCTTTACCTTTCCTGTGCCCAACTGACATGAATCTCTCTGCAGTTAGCCTTTCCCACTTCTATTTTTTTTGAGGTGGGGAGAGGGGAGAGAGAGGGGCAGAGAGGAGAGAATCCTAAACAGGTCAACGCTCCACCCCACAAACCATGAAATCATGACCGGAGCTGAAATAAAGAGCTGATGGAGCCACCGAGGCACCCCATTCTCCTTTCCATCATTTACCCTGCCCTTTGGGGAGTGGCTGGAAATGAAGTGGTGATGGTGGGTTCCACAGGCAGCCTTGGCAGCAACCGTTTCCTTCCCGCCTCAACCCACATGGAAAGCTGTCAGCATGGTATGTGGAGCCCCTTACCCCTCCACGCTTGAGATCAGTGCAGCAGCAAGAACCGCAACTGCAGCTTCTACGGTTGGCCTAGGAAAGCCACTTGTGTAGCTGGGCTCCCATGCTGGGACCCACCCATCTCTCCCTTGGGTTTTCTATGCTCCACCCTATTGTGACCTTTAAGGATTCTCTGCCACAGTCCTAGCCTCTTTCCTGCCTTGCAACATCCAATAGCCCATCTCTGGTCATTTGGAAAGTTCCCACTGAGTCTGAGCTACGGTTAAGAGCAAAGGGGAAAGGGGCCTCAGTTGTAACCCAGACCAGCTGGTCAACAAGAACCCAGTCTGCCTGTGCTGTGTAGCCTGGGCATGCGGAGGCAGTGCCTCTCCAGACTGGAGTGGAGGGTGGAGGCACGGCCTCCAGGCCAGGAGGTAGGAAATGGACTGCAGGTACTTTGAAATATTAAGGTTAACACAGCCAGAGGCAAAAATGCTAGAGGGGAGTGGATGCTAATTCTCAGTTCTTGGGCCTCAATAAAGATTCCCCTGGTAACCCCACTCGGTACTTGCACAGAACAGTATCTCACATCCAGAGGACTTCAGAGATGGGGGGTGGGGAGCCAGTAAAAAGGCACAGGAGTGTAGTATGTGGTCAAAAGAATTTCAGCATTAACGTGAACTTTAAAGATCAGATTTATTTGGAGAAAACAAACAAAAAAAAAATAACCCCACAACCCGAAGGATGGGATTTTACATCTCAAGACGTCTCCCAGGTATTAAGTCTACAGATTACAAATCATTTTCATAGAAGATATTTTGTACAAATTTTACACATATTTTAAGGAGCGGGACATAACCCGTTTCTGTTGTAACGGGGGCAGGAGAGGGGAGTGGGGAAAAAACAGCTTTTTTTGGACACAACTATTTGGAAGTAGACCTGCAGAGGGCAAACCCTAACTTTCCAACATCTAAAAGCCACTTCCTGGCTACTGGCCAATCCAAGCCAATTATTTAAAGATACTTCACTTCGTAAGCCTTTTATGTCCACTGGCTAAATGATTCACTCCTTGTGCCCACTGCTGCAGCACTCACAAACCAACACGTCTGCATGGCTGGACAGGGTCTAATCTAGGACTGATGGGTGAAAGGCTCGTGAACACCCATCACCCACGAGGATGCCATTTACTGGGCTGACAGTACAAAGGTGCACATAACACACGCAAGTTAGGCTATTGTGTTGCAAGAGAAACCAGGACCTTGTTACACAGTTCTCTCCATTATCCTTTATTCTCTCAAGGGAAGCTAAAAAAAACAAAAAACAAAAACAAAAAAAAAACCCAAAAAGAAAACAAAACAAAAAACCCCACAAACCCACCAAAAAACCACGCATTGGTTGAGGCCACATTATAAATCCAAACACTAGTGTGGGATTTCAATGGAGAGAAGGAAACTTGTAAAAACAAAACAAAAGCCCCAATCAAGGTCATAAGAATGGCTCACAATTTGACCCTATTTATCTACCCTCACTCACCACCCAAGACCATTAATTCTAGAGTTTTCTGAGGTGTAAAAGGAGTCAAAGAAATAGGAGCCGGAATGGAGGGAAGGAGTGAGAGTCAAAAGACATGAAGGAGCCAAGATCTACTTGAGAAAAGCAGTGATTCCTCATTTGCTTCTGCTCCCTGGGGCGGGTCTAGAAAGCCTAGATCAGGTATGTGATTTAAATAGAAGCTGCATTCTGGGAGGTGACAGCAAAGAGTAGCATGAGGAACAGAAGCCCAGGACGAGAGAGTCTACATTTTTAAAGCTTCAAGATTTCAGCAGAACGTAGGTAGATGTGACCTTTCAGAAAGGATGGTGTTTAAGAAAGGGCAAAACCAGGACCCACACGAGACTTGGGAATTCCCATGACCCTTAAGTGCTTCCTGCTCCAGGAAGTAACCACGTGGTGTTTACTGGAGGTCATACCATTTCCCCATTACTGGTGCAAAATAATCCATCACCTCCCGACAGCTTCTTTTCAAACCACAACTTTTCCCACTTATTTTGGTCACCAAGCAGTCCCTATTCGTTAGTGGCCTACAGACTCACTCCCAACTACCCCCCTGGGGGGTAAAAATGAAGGAATTCCCCCTGGGCTGGCCCCAGTAACTCAGAATTAAGAGGAGGGGCTGACAGCCTCCTGGAGACTAAAAAAACAACTTCAGAGACTAAACCTACCTTTCCAAGGAGGGAAAATTTATTCAGATCATGTTTGAGAATTCATATATGCCACAACAGGATGTTAAGAATGAAAAGGTAGAAATCTCACACTGTTCCTTAAACCTGTCCTACTGCCCAACCAGATCCAGACACTGCATGTCACTACCATTTTGCTAAATGGAGGCCCCCAGGCACTAGTTCACACAGGCAACTGCATGTGTCGTAAAAATGCACAACTTTTCCATTAAAAGCTGTACGTCTCTCTCTCTCTCTGGCTACACTGGTGATTCTCCAGTTCAATACTTTAAAGGCTGCAGCAGCATGCATAAGAATTTCATTTTTTGTTTTTTGTTTTTTTAAAAAAAAGTTAAGAAAGGTCTCCAGGAGATGGTGAGTTTTATTGTCTTGTCTGGATAGAGGTTTGATTCGCTTTCGAATGTTCCAGGGTGGAGAGACTAGGAGAAAGCACAGGATGCAGAGGTCTATTCGGTGTAATCTTCTCCCTCATTCTCATCTTCGCCATCAACAGAGAGAGCAGCATACTTGCTTGCAGAACTGAACTTCTGGAATAGAGGAGTGAGAAAAATCACCAAAGCCTTGAACCCTCACATCAAAAAACCAAGAAACAGGATACTGAGCCTTAGACAAAAGGGAGGGGGCCAGGCCTAGCCCACTCCCTTCCGTATTAGCATTTTACACTGGCCTGTAGCTAGGGAGGCACGGCCAGAGGTGCAGGTGTTCTTACCGAAGTCCTCCCCCCACTTTTATCCTGGAGAGGGGATAAGAGCAGTGAAAGTGAAAGGCAGAAAACTGGAAAAAAAGAAGCTTCTTTCACTATTTCAAACAAGCAGCGATACCAGATTTCCAGTTTCCAACCCCTCTGCTTCCAGCCCCAAATGTAAGAGTTCCATGGCAAACATGCGCCGAGAGAAATCTAACAAGCATCTAACACTTACGGAAGCTGGATTTTCTTCAGGTTTCTTTGGCTCAGGTGCAGATCGGGAGTCTTGATCCTTTTTGCCATCTTTCCTGCGGAGACGGGAGTGTGAAACCATGTCTTTAGGAGAGGACCCTCGCAACAGCCACAAGCAGGTGGGAGGCACTGAACAGGCACTTCCAGTCAACAGTCCTTGCTACCTGGACATTGTGCTTCCAGATTCTTAAACAAGAACTGTCCACACTGGTTGACTTTCCTACAGCAGGAGATACGGCATCGCTTGGAGAACCAAAAACTTAACTACAGGGACCCACGTATCCAGCATCAGACGAAAGATTACCAATGACGAGAGAGAACATACATACCTATCTGACTCCTTCCAGTGGTCTTTGTTCCCTCCATCTCCTGGACCACGGCTGGAGTTCCCACTTTGGCCTTTTGGGACACTCATGCCATCTACTTTGTTTTCATCTGTTTGAGTGGAGACACAAAAATAAATTGAAGGCAAGTAAAATAAGCACCCTCCCTCTCCTAAGTTTCCCTTCAGCTACAGAAAAGCGTATCCATGTGTACTGAGGAAAATTCAACCTCAACCCAACCCAGATTTCTCTCCTAAATCCTTCTTCCCACATTCCTCTCACCCCCAAATATGACCCACTAAAAAATTCCACTTTAGGGTTATGCCATCATGAAGAGCAAACTGGAAATAAGGACTATGACGCTGTTGTAGTGACCTTGGCCTTACAGATGGTGACATTTCTAATCTGGACTGAGCATGTTAATTTCCTTCCGATTCTTTTTTTTCCCCCTTTCAAAGAAATGTTCTACCAGGAAAGGGCAGGACTCAGTGCTTTCTCCAGAGACCACTCTTGCCCTCTACTGGCTGGCAAGAAAAGGCAGATAATCTAAGAACCTTTGATACAAAAACAGGTGCAAAATTACACTGAAGTTCAATTCCTCAGGGGCTCCTTTATAAGCTTCTGATTTAGGCCTCTCATCTATGGGAAAAACTAACTTCCTTTTGGTCTTACCTTTCCTTGCTGGTCCTTCTTCAGACGGCTGAGCCGGAACTACTTTCCCCCCACCACTGGAAGGAAAACATGTACACATTTTTCAGGCTTAGGGAAAGAACAGGTAAGAAACTTATAAAGTAATAAGCTTTACAGAGAACCAGAAATATACACTTAACACTGTGAAACATTATAGGAAAAACAACAACGAAAGCAATTATACGAACCTTCACTAAGCACCATGTCCTATCGAATCATCACAATCACCCAAGGTGAATATAATTCTCTATTTTACACATGAGGCTCCTAGGACTTAAGGAAGTGAAGTGACCCCCAAAAGCCATGCTGCCAAATGTGGTAGTGGCAGCTTCTGACTACCAGGCTGCAGGTTTCGAGTAGCCACAGTGATGCCAACTGGTTATCAAAACTCTAGACAATGGAACAATTGGCTTTAATGAGCCAGCTCCAGAACACCACTGAATCTGAACTGAGAGCAAAGACAGCAAAACTTAAAAGCTGCTCTGGAAGGCACTTCCTCTCTCTCTTTTTTAACAATTTTTTAAGATTCCTGAGCTGAAACCAAGTGTCAAGTGCCCAGACAGGGCACTTTCTGTCGTGCTATCACAGTGTTTAAGATCCTACAGCTATGCCACTGCTGTGCTTCTAAGCAGACTCACCTTGTAGGGGACTGCTGCTCTGTGTCTGAGCTCTGCGATCGAGCAGGAGGGTTGGAACTTCGCTTCACCCAAGCATTCTCCTTTGGTGGAGGGGCTGGCATTACCTTTAGAGGCTGTTCAGGTTTGGGAGGCTTAGAAGTCGGAGAGTGACAGTCTTCCTCCTTATTGAGGGTTTCATTTTCTAGAGACTTCTCACTCTCTCTCCTTCGTGCATCTGTTAAGTCAGAGTGGGAAGGTTAAATTATCGAGAAAAATTCCACCTCCTTTCCTAGGAACCAGTACTCTACTTCAGGATTCTAGCCTTGCTACATTTTCAGCGTTAAAATGTCTGTACTTGGACAGGATACATATACAAGGGTGAAGAGGACCTCTGATGCACCCTCAAACCCCAGGAACCACTGCTCAAACTTCAACCTGGAGGCTCAACACACACTCACATCCACATACACAGAACAAAATGGGATATACGTTTATGAAAAACAAAACATACTTTATGTATTTTATAAAGGCGCCAAACATTTTCTCAAAACTAAAAGCTTTATTTTGTTAGATTCTTTCTGCATTTTAAGTGCAACCTCTTCACGTGGTATATAATCAACCCAACCATCACACTCCCACCTCGCTGTAAGAGGCACTACGGTCCTGTTACTAAAAGGCTACTCGAGTATGAATGACTGCCAGAAAAACTTCTACAACACTTGGCTGAGGTGATGTGGAAATTCATCCTTGAGCCATACTTTGAAATGCACAAATCAATTTAGAGATGAGAGGAGAAAACAAAAAACACTGGCTCACAATAAGGTAAGGGAGGTATTATAATTGAACTGCTGTTTCCAAAACACTGAACATGTTTGTGACCGATCAATAAATTCAATGAAGGAAGGAACGATGGATGAAGAGCAGATCACTGCTAGAGACGCTGCTCTGGTCATAGGGGACATCCACAAAGGCTGGCCCTGGGAGCAGCTCTGAGAGAGCTGTAGGACTGTGACTGCTCTAAATAAAGGAAAACTCTGGAATGTCCGTAAAAGGAAAAGAAAATCCAGCCATCAAGTATACTCTTTAGTGGAAGATTATTCAACAGGTCACCTAAGTCACTTCTGGTACCCATTTCTCAGATTTTTCAAGCGATTAGATGTGATACTCCAATCAATCTATGCTAACCCAAATTAAGTGTCCACGACTGAATTTAATACCCCAAAGACTCTGCATAGTTTGGTTATGGCTAGTTTATGGAAACACGATACCCACCCTGGTCTGACTTACTTCTGCCAGATGTGGCTGAGGTCCCAGTCTGTGATGACTCACTTCCTGTCCTGGACCGTTCCCGTTCCTGAGTTTCTTCACTTCGCCAGCTTGGGTGTCTGTACAAAGAGATTAAAAACAAAAAGTCCAGCTCAATGAAGGCCACTTTGGACCCATGCTGACCCTTCAAGAACCATCACTTATTGATATTTTATCGTGGTTGTTTTCCTTGTGGGTGGGTGGGTGCATCCTGTCTCTCACCTCACCAAGTTGGGGCTCTTTACTCCATATACTAAATCAAGGTTTGGCAATTTTCTTTAATGGGTCAAATAAACTTTACTTTTAAAAAAATGCTTATTTATTTTGAGAGAGAGAAAAGTGAGCGAAACGGAGGCAGAGAGAGAGGGAGACAGAGAATCCCAAACAGGCTCTGGGCTGTCAACACAGAAGCCAGACACAGGGCTCAAACTCATGATATGTGAGGTCATAACCTGAACTGACAGAGTCAGACACTTAACCAACTGAGTCACTAGAGAGCCCCTGATAAATTTTATTTATAAAAAAAGGAAAAGGGCATAATTTCCCAACTCCTATATTAAATTACCACCAATTTATATTTGTCGCAGGTTAAGCCCAGTTATTCCCTTTTACAAATTGTGAGCGATAGGCAACCAACTCTTCACTGGGTGAAAGTGTCCCATACACTCCAGCACACCCATCGGTCCCAGCCCGTGCACACTAAATGCCAGCGACAACCAACAAGGTCTCCATGAATTTCCCAAGTGTGCCCTAAGGATGCACGTCCCCCACCACCAGGAGCCACCAGACTCGTGACAGGAAGCGCACAACTGAGGAGATGCTCACCGCTCCCGAGGCCGTCGCTCTAGCTTGGGCTCATCCAGCTGGCGCTGCAGCTTCTCCTGCTCCTTCTGCAGCCGCTCCTCTACTTCTCGCTCTCTAGCAGCTGTGTCAACGGGCTTCGCCCCTCCAAAGATAGAGGCTGCTCGACTGGACTGCGAGGTGCTAGCAGAGGAATCATCTTCCTTAGGAGTACTCCGAGGCTTTAGATTCAGTTTGGGTCTTTGGGGGGGACCTAAGTTAAATAAAACTCTTAAGTAAGTTTTTCAAAATCACCGAAAGTTGATGGCTGAAAGCCAGATTCCCAGACACAGCTCTTATAAAATGCTATATGGGATTTAGATTAGTGGCCTAGCCAGTCCAGCAGAGAAGGGAGATTAGAAAATGGGTGGCCTAAATAACCAAGTCCAATCAATCTTTCCACTATCATATTGATGATGCAGTGCCAGACTGAGGAAAAGACTAAAGAAAGGTAAAACTTTAAGTGGTAAATTATTGTGATTACTAATTACCTGGAAAGAAATGTCTGAGTATAATGAACTATTGGATGAAAAGTATCTTGGTCAAAAATGTGGTCTGGAAGATGGATTACTTAAGTAAGAGCTTGTAACAGTATGATGGTAAAGACTCTAGTTCCTATACCTTTGTCTCTCTCTGTAATATAAACTTGACAGTGATTCACAGAGCAAAGCATACAACACTGACTAGCTTAATATAAAGTCTAAAGGAATCTGATTCTGTTTTGGATCCAAATTGTCAGAATGTTTTAAGGAAACTGTGTCTCTCATAATTAGTGTTTATCTTAAATATTTCAGACATACCAAAGATAAAGAAGATAAGGCCTATGTGTCAGCCACCTGGCTTCAGTAATAAAACACTACAAAACCCACTGAAGGCTCCTCCTGAGTAGCTTTTCTCTGATGACATGCCTGTGTTCTGTCTTCTCATAACTATTATACTGAACGTGGGGTTTATCATTCCCATGCAGATCTTTATACTCTCACTATAGAGCATATACATGTTATCTACAAAAAGGGTATAGTTTAGTAATATTATTTTTTTCTTCTAAGTAGGCTTCACTCCCAGAGTGGAGCCCAATGCAGGGCTTGAACTTATGGTCCTGAGACCAAGACCTGAGCTGAGATCAAGAGTCAGAGGCTTACCTGACTGAGTCACCCATGCACCCCAATATTTAAGTTTTCTAGAAAGGGTTTAAATTGGCAATTTATATAACCTTCCAAGGTACAGTTTTTCAAAAAGGTCTTATCTTTAAGTCATTTCTACATCCAGCATGGGGCCTGAATTCACAACTCCAAGATCCAGTTGTACCCTCAGACAAAGCCAGCCAGATATCTCCAAGTGATACAATTTTAATATGTGTAACTGTGCGAAGGGCCCATTAGCTTCCCTTTTATAGGGTAATACTGGGGGTCAGAAAGAGTTAACTCATTTAAGCCATACAGCTAATAATACTTTGTGGACCAGAGGATGAAATCTGTATTATCAAAGCAACTTTATGCTCCTTCCACTATAGTACACAGTATCCTTTTCTTCTTCATCTGATAATTTCCATTTATCTTTACCAACTCAACAAATAATTTGACCACTTATATTTCTGATATTGTGGTAAGGCCAGGAATATGACAGTTGGATAGTATTTAGTTCCTGCCTGCAAGGAGCCCAATTTAGCAGAGGATCAGAATAAAAAAGACTATAGTATGCTAAGCTGTACAGAACAGATTTATCCACATGGAAGTTCTCAGATTGGGGCTATGTTTGGGGAAACCTATGAAAGGTTCCAAGTGGTAACTCCTGAAAGTCTAGAAAACTGAGCAAACACCTAATGGTAGATGTCCAAGGGATGGGAGAGAGCACTAAAGAGGCAAACTGGAGGCAGGATAGTGAAGACCCTTGTATGTCAGAGGAACAAAGGGCTATCTTTCAGGCCATGGAGAGACTGGGAAAGCTTTTAAAAGAATGATCTAAATGGGGCGCCTGGGTGGCTTCAGTCAGTTGAGCGTCTGACTTTGGCTCAGATCATGATCTCCCAGTTTTTGAGTTTGAGCCCTGCACTGGGCTCTCTGCTGTCGGTACAGAGCCCACCTCAGATCCTCTGTCCCAGCCTCTCTCTGACCCCCCACCTGCTTGCACTATAAAAAAAACAAAACAAAACATAAAAAGAGTAATCTAATTAGCTCTTGTTCCAGAAAGACAATTTGGGCCAGTGTGAAGAATGGAATGAGACAGGGAAATCTGTTAGTAATGTGAGCATAGCAATGAAGTATGAACGAAGCTGGAGATAAGGGGGCAGATCTTGGAGGGAGCGGTGGACAAGATCACCAGAAAAAAGATCAGGTATGCAGTTATGGAGGGAGGCAAAAAGGGCGTGAGGAAGGAAAAGGTCAGGAGTCAACGAGATTCAAAGCCCATTATCAAGCCTCTACTTTTCTCACTAGTGAAGTGGAGATGATAATCGTACCTACACTAGATAGAATTCTTAAGACTGCATACCTGTAAAAGTACTTAGCTCACTGTTGGTGCAGAGTAAATGCTCATAGACTGTTGGCCATTTATTAACACTTCGTGAAAGGCCAGATTTGTAACAACAGTACATTTTACATAATTGTTATTAACATTAACATTAGGGGCATAATTTTAGGGGCACTTACATCTTACCACTGATTATCAGTTACTGTGATATAAAGGCACTGAAATCACCAACACTTGGTTTTTAACCCCACAGTGCCAATCACTCGCAGTCTCCTAACTGCGTGGCAAACATTTTCCTTTTCTCCTTTGTAGAGTCAACACATTTTAACTGAAAAATCTATATGCTAAGGCAACTTAGAAGAATTAGACTTTGCTTTATTTCCATTCTGTCATCCTTGTCCAATGCTCTTCTACTATCCTCTGCTGCATCTTTCACAATGTGTAAATTCTATCCTGTTTCAAAACCCACTTAAGGGGTTTGAGACATAACTGATAATTTTCTAATCAGTTTCTCCAGTGGTCTGCCCTACTAAGTAAGAGAAAATGATTACCTCTATCATCACGCCTATAATCATCCCGAGAGTAATCATCTCTGGAGCTCCATGACCGATCATCTCGTCTGTCATATCTGTCTTCATAGCGGTCCCCGCCTCCTCTGTAGTCATCATCCCTACGGTACCCGCTACCAAATGCTCTTCTGCCACTGCCTATCCTGGAATCATAACCTGTAAATATATCCCAAATTAAGATCATCACACTTGAGGAAATAAAGGCAACCAAGGGGTTCTCGAAAGAAAGAGATTTAATGCAGCTGTTTTCTAATGACCTCTATCATAGTCTCTGCTGCCTCGGTCATCATAGCGATCCCGGCCCCCGTATCGATCCATATCTCGGCGTGGGCCATCACGATACCCATCCCGATACCCATCCCGGTATCGGTCTGAATCGTAACGATCTCGATACTCTAGAGAGAAAACAGACAAGGCAATGTCATTCTCTTTTCTTTGACACCATTAATAAGAGCTTGAAAGACCATGAGGGCAACTTGGTTTCATGAGTTCACAGTCACTATGTCTGTTTTTATAAAAATTAATCACTTTAAATGCAAAGTGGAAAAATGTGTACTGAATTAAGTTTTATTGGTATTTGACTTAAAAAAATTTGATTCAATAAATGCTAACAATTTGAGAATTAAGGAAGAGTAAACTCTCTAAGTGGCCCATAATGAATTTCCAGGATTAAAAACAAAATACGGTAGAAAAAAAAATATTGTTGGAATCTGTAGTTTTGATTGGTTCTAAAGAACCAAAGACCACTTAAAAAGTTTAGCATGGGAAAATACACAAGGTCTAATCTGGGAAGCAAACAAAATGAGAAAAATGTGACATGGGACAGTAACTGGCTATTACTTAAGTAACAGAAAATAAAATTAACAGGACATTTTCCACCACCAAAATGGCGAAGATGAAAAGTAAGAGATACCTCTGGTACTGGCCAAGTTGGGGGGAGTAAGTTCATTCCCACACTGCTGAGGAGTCTAGAACTGCACAACTACTCTGAAACTGGTTTCAGAACTATGCATTAAAAGCTTTAAAATCACTTGTACCCTGTGGGGCAACAATTCAAATTCTAGGAATTTATCCTGAAAAAATACGGAACATTATAGAAACATATACAAGAAGATTCACAGGAATGTTGTTTATAATGTTAAAAAATTGTTGAGTGCACAAGCTATGGGTTAAGTGAAGGGCCATCTATAAAAAGCAACCACTAAAAATGGAGTAAGAGATACATTTACTATGACACTTGAAAACTGTATTTTACACTCATGCATGAATCAGTATCAGAGATGCCTAAATTCCAGAAATTTGTATCTAAAAATGCTGCAGAGCTCAGGTGGCAAACTACATGATATGAGGCATTTATAAAAGGAGGTAGAGGCTACTTAGCTTTGGCTAACTTGCTACATCTTCCAATTTTCTGAGAAAGCTGAGAACCCCAATTTTCATACGAAAAACCGTATTTTCCAAACATGAACCAAACAATTACAACAAACTTAAAAACATTTTGAGTTTAATAATTTATGCAGAGGTCAAATGAGAATTGTATTTTTATGACCTCTTCCTTGTAAACCACGATTTTGGAAACCTCATTTTGTCCACATTCCCTGATAAATTCCCAAGTTAAAGGATATGCTAATGTTGGTAAGACAATTATAGACAGGAAAGAATCTAAAATAGAATTCAAAAACCAAAAAATCAACTATGTGTTTATTTTGAAGTATGTATTTGATTTCTAGAGACAGGCACTGTATACTTAGAACTTCCTGCAGAAAGGCTGACGCGCAGTACCTCAGGTAGTTCTCCCCATGGCTTTGTCTGGTCACACAGACTTGACTGAAAAGTCAGATATAAACTCGACTCCTTCTTCCTATTCCTACATCATTAGGTTAAGGAGAAATTCTTCAAATAGGAATTCTACTACTTACTGCTCCCTTCATTTTATTTGGTACAGAGCTCACATGATGCCTTAGAGAATTAAAATGCATGTGAACTGAAGTTGTTCTATTTCTTTTTACTTATAAAATATTTCCAACACACAAGAAATTACAAAAGCAATCATAACAGACTCCTGTTATACCTGTAGTTAGGTTTAACGGATGCCAATAGTTTACCATATTTACTTGTTTTAAATTTCACAGCAGTATGTTACAAATGTAGCTAAAAGATTCCTTCCACCTTCCCCCAGTCATGAAGGTAGTTCTGTTACCATGCATACATTTTTATAATTTATGCATGAACACTAGAGGATAGTTGTTTTTTTTTTTAATGCTTTATTTATTTCTGAAAGAGAGAGAGAGAGAGACAGTGTGAGCAGATGAGGGTCAGAGAGAGGGAGACACAGAATCTGAAGCAGGCTCCAGGCTCTGAGCTGTCAGCACAGAGACCGACGCAGGGCTCGAACCCACGAACAACCGTGAGATCATGACCTGAGCCGAAGTCAGACGCTTAACCGACTGAGCCACCCAGGTGCCCCTAGAGATAGTTTTCAAATGTTTACACCCCCCACTCAGTATTACAGATTTAAAATTTTATCCCTATCATTACACATGTATTATACTATATGGACAAACCACTATTTCATCATTTCTTCACTGAATTAGTGTTCTTTCTTCATATATTTCAATAAAGTTGCCTAATTTTCTCCATAAAGGTTTGCATATTTTTTTGTTAGATTTAGGTAGTGTGTGTAAAAGTTGTAATTCACCCCAACTCTTAATTACCCACAACATTCTATTTCTCTTCTCCTTACTCTAAATTATAGTTTATTTATTTGCACACTGCTTTTCTCCCCCAGTATAAACAATGTCCAAGAGGATAAAATTTTTAAATATCTTTCTTTTATTTTGAGAGAGCACCAATAGGTGAGGGGCAGAAAGGAGAGACAGAATCCGAAGCAGTCTCCGTGCCATCTGCACAGAGCCTGATGTGGGGCCTGAATTCATGAACCATGAGATCATGACTGTAGCTGAGATTAAGAGTTGGGACGCTTAACCAGCTAAGGCACCCAAAGGCGCCCCCTTGTCTATTTTGTTCACTGCTATATCCTGGGCTTTGAACACTATCTGGCACATGGTAGACATTTAGTGTTTTTGAAGTGAATGAATTCTGTTATTTAAAAAAGTATCTTAAAAAATTCCATTTTGACTGCTGGCTGCTAGTAATACAACCAATTTTTGTGTAATGCTCTTGCCCCAGCAATCTTTTTTTTCCCTTTTTTAAGGTTTATTTATTTTTGAGAGACAGAGCATGAGTGGGGGAGGGGCAGAGAGAGAGGGAGACACAGAATCCGAAGCAGGCTCCAGGCTCTGAGCTGTCAGCACAGAGCCTGATGCAGGGCTCAAACCCACAAGCCGTGAGATCATGACCTGAGCTGAAGTCGGAAGCTTAACCAACTGAGCCACGCAGGTGGCCCACGCCCCAGCAATCTTGCTGACTCTAAGATTTCTTGGGTTTCTTTATAAACAGTTATTTCCTAAAGAGAGAGAAATTTCCCGCCTAATCTTTGGCAAGGTTTAAAAACAAAAAAATTTTTTTTAATGTTCATTTTTAATGTTTATTTTTGAGGGAGAAAGTGGGAGCGTGGGGGGGTGGAGGGACGGAGAGGGAGGGAGAGGGAGAGGGAGGGAGAGAGATAGAGTGTGAGATTGAGAGTGAGAGAGCGCGCGTGCGAGCATGCACAAGAGACACCCAGAATCTGAAGCAGGCTCCAGGCTCTGAGCTGTCAGCACAGAGCCCAACTTGGGGCTTGAACTCCTAATCTATGAGATCATGACCTGAGCTGAATTCGGATGCTCAAAAGACTGGGCCACCCAGGCACCCCCCACAAGGTTTATTTTTCTTTTTTTTTTTTTTTTAAATTGTAACCATATCAAAATCTTTTTCTGCATCTATCAATTCTTTTGGAGATCACATTTTTTTCTGTATCTACTACTCCCTCCCTCCCTGCTAATATGATTATTTACATTGATACATTTGTCCTATTACAAAACAGTCCTCAGAACACAGAAGAAACTCACTGAATTAAAAAGGAACTTACTGTCTCCAAAGCTATCATCGCCTCTCCTAGGCGGGTAGTCATCGAAGCTGTCTGTGGCAGGGCGCGCCCTCCAGTCTGTATCTGTTTTGTCAGAATCCCGATTTCTATCTCGGCCAAAAGAACGATCATCCCTGTCTACAGAGATGTAAAATAAAAACTACAAGTTAGCACACAAAACCTTTTACATGATTGTATTTCTTACCCGCACAGAGTCTTCCCCCAACATACTGCATTTCATATCACAAAGTTGCCTGACTCAGATGGTGCTCCATCATAAGTGCACTCTTCGACTTAACTGAGTAATTCATTTCCTCACTGTAAGCATTAAACCTCATTCAGGTCTCATATTGTGTACAGGCCAGGAGCCCCTGAAATACATATGAATCAGGCCTTGTGCTGCTAGGTACACTTATTTATTACATATTTAACGTTCCTCTAGGTCAATCAGGGTCTTTCCATCAACACTACTATCATTTTGGGGTGAGTAATTTTTTGCTGTGTCCTATGCATTCTAGGATCAATCCCTGGATTCTACTCATTAGGAGTCAGCAGGACTCCCGAGTTCTGACAGTTCGAGAGGTCTCCACACATCGACAGATGTCCCCTTCGGCAAAATCATCCTTAACTGAGAACGAACGCTCCAGATTCAGGCAGGCCTACTGCTCTATCTCTATTAAAACGTTCTGGTAAAAGCTACCTCTGCTTTGTCATCCTAGGACCAAAACAAAACAGGGAGATTTCTATCAGTTTTCTTACCTTTATCTTGTGCTTGATCAGCAACGTCCACTCGAATTCTCCTGTTACCTAGAGACTGAGAGCATAGGACCACATTAACCAACCTTTTGCCCCATTATGCACAAATCCCATGAGTGACTTGAACGTCTGGGCATAGCAGAAGCACTGGGGGAAGGAAGATAAAGGAAAAACACTGTAATCTAGCCAACACTCCAATTTGTTGGCCAAAGAATCCTTTATAAAGACTTGAAAATCGAAATAATCCCTTAGAATTAACAAATTTAAGTTGGGCTTATATCAATGTCATATCAATTACATACTTTTATAAAGCTATATTTACTTTATAAAATGAGCCTTTTAACTATTAAAGGCAACTTATCAAACTTAATAAATTGAAAAGAATTCCCAGATAACTAGCTAAATAAAAGGCATATTTGGGTCCAGAGCAACTATTCAGGCGGACATTTATAGAGCCCCTACTATGCAACAGCAACAGTACATAAAGCATTGTCTCTATTATCTCAAGTTCTTTCACTCAATATTACCTTTGGATAAATCAGTTCCTCCAGGATACCCTCTGACTTCCCTTTCCCACATCATTATTTATATACTTTGAACCCAATTAATTCTACTGCTGATTTTTCCTCATTTCACAGTAGAATCTACAGTTGAAGAAGGATAACAGTGAATTTTGGTTAAAAACACCCAGAATTGTATTAAATACTACTATGATGCAATCTCTAGAAACAAAGTAAACTCCTAAGTCTGGACCATGACAGTATTTTATATAATATGTTATTCATCAAACTTCAGATAATTAAATTGTACGGTATTCCTTCCCTCATCCAAACCTAGAAGTTATAAATAATGTTAATAAAACCTAAAAATGATGTGAAAAGAAAAAACTTTGGAACAAATAAGCTTTTCAGATATTTAACTCATACAGACGATCATGGCTATAACTCAATTATGACACAGGAAAAATATTTGAGAGGCGTTGATATGAACTGTGTTAAATGGTAGGGTTTGGACCATAGAATTATGGCCCAAATCTGCTATCTGACAAACTGCCTTCTCAAGAAGTGAGGGTTTTCTCATATTAAAATGGAAAAAAGAGCCCCTTTCCTTCCCAGATTTGATTTCTAGTCACTAGAAGGGAAAAAAAAAAAAAAAGCAGGTTCTAGACTAGAAACTTCCATTACTAAGAGGTAACTGTTAGCTTAAGAATCACTACATGGCACCAATCACTCAAATGACTGTAATTACAGTTAGGTTTCATCCCCATACCCCCCTCATGTATTAGCAGCTGAATCTCCTCTACTACACTGCTGGTGTGTCTGGGTAGGAAAACATCTATGGGCAATGTTAAAAAGCACAAGAATTGAGTGTTTACTGTCATTCTCCTTTAAGAGACCCCTAGGAACATATATTACAAATGACATTCCACTGAGAAATGTTTCCAAACTCTTTAAACCCATAAAAAAAAATCATTAACTTTCCTGAAAATCAGTAATGCCTTTTAACACTAAACTGATAAGCATGCTTTGATCTGGTCAGATTATTTTGAAAAAGCAAAGCTATGTATGAGAACTGAGACAAAGTTCCAAATCAACGAATGAGTAACTTCTATTAGACCTGGTGTGGCAGGGGTGGGGGTGGGGGGCACGGCTGGGTGGCTCAGCTGGTTGAATGTCGACTTCGCCTCAGGTCATGGTTTCACTGTTTGTGAGCTCCAGCAGCCCCCAGTCAGGCTCTGTGCTGACAGCTCAGAGCCTGGAGCCTGCTTCGGATTCTGTCTCCCTCTCTCTCTGCTCTTCTCCCACTTGTGCTCCTTCTCTCTCAAAAAAAGACTCCGTGTGGTGGGTTTCTTCCATAATTTCCCACATTAAGTACCTCCCTGAATGACTGGGACCTGCAGAGTTTGCTCAAGTTAAGTGTGACTTGCTAGATGTTGAGTGTTAAGTGTCACATGGTGTTTTTCTTTGTAGACACTATGACAGTCTTTGCAACAGTGACCCAAGCAAAAATACATTGATAAGCATAGGATTGGTTAGCTCCCACCCCTCAAACTTCCCACCTTATTTTCTTTACCTCTTCGTTGAGGCTCAGGGCACTGAGCAAAGAATCCAGGTCCTCAAACTCAGCATAACCAAAACCTTTCAACCTCTCTGGATTGCTGGGTTCACGTGGTAAACGCACTGCACTGATCTGAAACAGTAAAGAAACAGATTTCCAATTAAATATTCTCGTTCATTTCTCCCTCCAACCCCCCTGCATATGCAATGAATTTCTCTGAAGAATTCCCAAGAAAGAACCTGGCTGTTTCCAGGAGGAAAACTGGTACAAAGGGATAGGATAAAGACTTCACTATATGCCATCAAACCTTTTCAATTTGAACCATATGAATTTAACCCTTAAAAACAAACAAACAAACAAACAAAACCCTAACGAGTTCAGAGTAGTCCCTATATCCTCGACTTCTGTTTCATTCTTCAGGTCTAGTTTTTAGCTGTTTTTCAATAAAGAACAACTGCCCATTCCACAATCAGTTTATTTTAGTCATCTCTTTATGCCTATCTTTTTAGCAAAAAGTTTTCTAGGCAGTCTATTCTTTGAAGACTTTTGTTTTCTAATTAGAAGTTTGCAGGATTCCTTGTTTTAAAGTTTCATAAAACTGCCTGGCATGAATTTTTATTTATTGATTATTTACAACAGGGTATGTACTCTTCATTTCCAATTTTAGAAGCATTTTCAAATACTTCTAACTATTTTCTGCCCATCTTTTTGATGGCTTCCACATATTTTCTCACCCTGTAACTTATTTCTTAAGTATTTTGAATGTATTCAAGCTACATTCTTCTAGATCATGGATATGATACTTTACTCTGGCTCCTGAGATACACATTTTGTTAAATTCTCTTTTAAATTCTAGTTTAACTCAACTCTTGAAATAGCAGTAAAAGGAACAAAATATGAAAGAGAGAAGTACCTCCAGATCAATTCTAAATTCTAAAGCATTCACAGTAAAAGCCTGAATGGGCCAGAGGTTATTATTCAGCATTCTACAGAAGAGGCCAAGAAAGTAAAATCAAAAACAGGTCAGCTTTCTAACTGTACTACATATTTATACAGAGAAGAGGATTTATAGGTAGCAGTCAAAAAACAATCACATTGTGGGGCGCCTGGCTGGTTCAATTCATAGAGTGTACAACTCTTGATCTCAGGGTTGTGAGTTCGAGCCCCACATTGGGTGTAGAGATTACTTTAAAAATAAACTCTTAGGGGCGCCCGGGTGGCTTGGTCGGTTAAGCGTCCGACTTTTGCTCAGGTCATGATCTCGCGGTTCGTGGGTTCGAGCCCCGCATCGGGCTCTGTGCTGACTGCCAGCTCGGAGCCTGGAGCCTGTTTCAGAGTCTGTCACTCCCTCTCTCTCTGACCCTCCCCTGCTCATGCTGTCTCTNAAAAAAAAAAAAAAAAAAAAAAAAAAAAAAAAAAAAAAAAAAAAAAAAACTCTTAAAAGAAAAAAAAAAATCACATCAGAAAAAGTACCCATTGACGTTTGTGGTCCACTACAGAAAAGATGATCTAGGAAGGGAGTCAAAAAACAAAGTAAGAAGAGAGTAGACTGCTCCCAGAACAGAGCCCAATGGGGGGGCCTGAACCCACAAACTGTGAGATCATGACCTGAGGCCCCCAAAAGTAAACCGTACCCTCCATGTGGGGTTTGAACTCACAACCTTGAGATCAAGAGTTGCATGCTCTCACTGAGCCAGCCAAGTACCCTAAGTCCCAAGTATTTTTATTTTTTTAAAGTATATTTATTTTGAGAGAAAGCAAATAGGGAAGGTGCAGAGACAGAAGGAGAGAGAATCTCAAGCAGGCTCTGCGCTGTTAGCATGGAGCCCAATGTGGGCTTTAAACTCATGAACTGTGAGATCATGACCTGAATCGTAAACTGAGTCGGACGCTTAACTGACTGAGCCACTCAGGTGCCCCAATCCTTAAGTATTTTTATTTATTTTATTAAACAAAAAAATTTTTTAATGTTTTACTTATTTCTGAGAGAGACAGTATGACCAGGGGAGGGTCAGAGAGAAGAGGAGACACAGAATCCAAAATAGGATCCAGGCTCTGGGCTAGCTGTCAGCACAGAGCCCGATGTGGGGCTCAAACCCATGCATCGTAAGATAATGACCTGAGCTGAAGTCGGACGCCCAACTGAGCCACCCAGGCGACCCTCTTAAGAATTTTTAAATCTAAGTTTGAAAAAAGAACTCAGCACCTCTATACTCACTTTCCCATCTTTTTGGAATCTTTTAGATCAGCATTGCAAATATTCTGTCTTAAGCCTTTTAAGAATGCCTATAATCACTGTGAATTCCACTATATGTGACACCAAACTCACAGAACCCTTAATAATTTTAGCACACTATCATTAACATAAATTACATATTTCTGACTTTGGCTCAGGTCATGATCTCACAGTTCATGGGTTCGAGTCCCACGTCAGGCTCTGTGCTGACAGCTCAGAGCCTGAAGCCTGCTTCGGATTCTGTGTCTCCCTCTCTCTGCCCCTCCCCCACTCACGCTGTCTCTCAAAACTGAAAAAACATTCAAAATAATTTAAAAAAATTAAAAAATATAAACTACACATCTTCTCAGTTGTAAGTATTCCTACCAAACATTGAAAAGTGACTCTGAGGGGTGCCTGGCTGGCTCAGTAGAGTATGCGACTCTTGATCCTTGGGTTGTGAGTTTGAGCCCCACATTGGGTGGAAAGATTACTTAATAACTGAGTATATCAGTTTTTAAAAAAGTAATCTATACGCCCAATGCGGAGCTTGAACTCATGACCCAAAGACAGATTCCCATGCTCCACTGACTGAGCCAGCCAGGTGCTCCTGGGTATATCACCTTTAAGATTCTTAATGAGAAGAGGTATAGGTTCCTGAGAGATTCTTTCTGTATCAATAAGATGTAAGATGAGATTATGACTGGTATGGGATGAGAGTATTTTCAGCCAAAGGGTCTAAACATCACTTAATTATATACCCATTTCTTCCAAGTCTAGACATAACCTCAGAATCTTTCTCAGCTTAGAAATTCAGACATGATCACTGACAGTTTGCTACTCTCCACATTTAGTTAACTGCCTTAAACCTTTACACTTACATTTAATCCTCTAAAGAATTCCTTAATGGAATCTTCTGTCACATCATAGGGCAGGTTCCCTAGAAAAGCAGTATAGGGTGGCGATTTTGGAAGACGGCTCCGGTCGATATTGGGTTCCCGAGCAGCCCGTGGAGCAGTGGGCAGGATGGAACGGTCAATTGGAGGTGCCCTATACACGTCGTCATCATTACTGTGCCAAGTAGTTGAAACTAGGATAGAAAAGTGGATGTTTAAGAAATCAAAGCAAACTTCCCTCACTGCTGCTGGAGAGTAAGAAGATCCATGCTAAGTACTGAGTGTTAAATAGTTTCTTTAATATCTGGAAAGATTAAATAGTTTATTGAATATCTGGAAAGAAACAGATAAAAAAGCACTTAAACGAGGGCATTTTACAAAGACAAAATGCTTCTGAAATGTCAGTATCGGATTAGCAATGCAAAAAACTCAGTACTCACTGTCTCTTGGTTGGTTTCTAAGTATTTCAAGACCTTTCAAGACCCAGGCTTTTGTTAACAGAATCATGGTAACTCTTATTCCTTATGAAGCAAAGAATCACCTATTTCTGGAATGTTACTGTGTGCCAGGTATTTTATATTCATTATATCCCATCTTATCTTTTAAACAACCCTGTGAAGTTGTTTCCATTCTACAGAAAAGGAAAACTCAGATTTCAGATTCAATAACGTGTCCAAGATTACAAAGATGGCAGAGTAGTAGATGGTAATCCTAGTACAGACAGGACTCAAACCAAGGTCCCTCTCATTCCAAATGTATTTAAACATTGCTGACAACTCTCAGATTCCTAACTTTTTGGGTGGACAAATTGTTTTCCTTATGGTTCATCTCCTTCAAACAAACAGCACCTCAATTCCATCTCATTCCTCACTTTTGTTTACCCATGCCTTCATAAAAATAGTTCCTAGATCAATTTATTCCTTAACTCTGAGCATAAACAGCTTATGCAATATACTATAATATCAGGATATCATAGAATTTTAGTAATCTAGTCCATAACTTTTCAAATGACAATGAAGCTTAAAAGCCTTGAAAAAAAGTCTGTTAACAAGAGCCAGAACTAGTACTAAGCTTTCCTGAATCACAATTTCAGTACCTAATCATGAACTCTTATAGCCTAAACCTAAAATTGTATGAAACACACAAATATATGAGGTTCTACAAAATGATTATAAAGTCTTTTCATATTATATATGTGAACCATTATTATGGAATGGGTTTGCCTTAGAAGAGAATGAAAATCCCAAGCACAATGGAAAATTAAAAAAAAAAAAAAAATTACCATCTCCTTCCAGGTCGTCTGTTTCATCAGCCCAGCTGACTGGTTTGGGGACATAAGTGCTTCCTCCCCCAGTCCCTCCATCCTCAGCCAGAAAGTCTGTTAGGGAGATAGTTTTCCCCTTCTTATTCTTCTTTTTTGCTGTTTTAAAAAAGGCAAAAGATTATTTATCATTACTTGGTTATTTAAAAGAGTTGTACAACATGCTGTTAAAAGAAAGTAACAAAAGGGTGCCTGGGTGGCTTAGTTGGTTAAGTGTCCAACTTTGGCTCAGGTCATGATCTCGCAGTTCATGAGTTCAAGCCCTGCATAGGGCTCTGTGCTGACAGCTCAGAGCCTGGAGCCTGTTCTACCCCTCCCCCACTTGCACTCTGTCTCTCAAAAATAATTAAAAAAGAAGAAGAAATATTTTCAACATTAAGACTGGGGTGGGGGCAACCTTTTATTTTCTACTATATTCACTCATATATCATTTGAAAATTTCAGTTTAGTAACTATCTGTGCTTAAGACAGATAATTACATTCGTAGCTCCTGGTATACAAAGAACTAAAACAAGACTCCTATCCCTATTAACATACTCTGTATGACATTTATGAGAATTGTGTGATACTTGTAAAATAACCACATGAAGTAGGAATCATTACTATCAATTTACAAAAAAGAAAACTACATCTCAAAGAGGTTACATGACTATCCTACAGTTACGGAGATGTTAGATAGCAGAGCTAGAATTAAACTCAGGGTTTTAGATACCAAATCTAGGGCTCTTCCCACAGGTGTCCAGCCTCTAAGAAGCCTGTTAGTAGTTCTACTGTGCGTGTGTGGGTTTTTTTTGGGGAGGGGGAGGGAGAGGGTGTATCATAACTACGGTCAAGTGTTGTATGGTTAAGACTATACAAAGCTGGATAGCCCTGCCCTCTAGGAAGAAAAAATTCTCTCCTTCCCTAGTCTAACACCACATATGAAGATAAGATAGGGTACTAAAGGTAAAACATAAGAAACCCCTAAACCCAACACATTTGAATGTTTTTGTGTATTTATGAAATCTGTAGGAATTTCCAAATGGCTGTTTAGTGGACTGACCTTGGCTCTTTAACTATCTATTTCTCAGAATCTCTTCTGAGATGGCACCAATCAATAGCTAATGCAGAAGAGCTGAAGGGACTAAATAAACTTCTAAGACTGGCTCCGGAGAGTAACCCCTACATGATAAGAAAAAAAGCAAGCAGCTTTGTTGTAACAAAGATCAGTTTCATGGCTTATAATCATGAGTTCCTCCTCCATGTTCCAATTCTCATCTAATTTTCAGTCCAAGAAGACTAAGAATTTGAAACATGATGCAACCAATTTGTTTAACTGAAGGCTGCTCTCTCACACAGCACCTTTCTTTTTTTTTTTTTTTTTTAAATGTTTTATTTATTTCTAGGAGAGAGAGAGCGTGAACAGGGGAGGGTCAGAGAGAGAGGAAGTCACAGACTGAAACAGGCTCCAGGCTCTGAGCTGGCAGTCAGCACAGAGGCCGATGTGGGGCTCGAACCCACGAACCGCGAGATCATGACCTAAGAGAAAGTCGGACGCTTAACCGACTAAGCCACCCAGGTGCCCCTCTCACACAGCACCTTTCTTTAAAATCCAACTCTCAGGAAATAAAGATGACCTGTTTGCTATGAACAGCCTTCTGGACGGACACATTAAGAAGGGTCCTATAGCATTGATATTGCCCCAGCTTTATGCAGAAGGCCTAGGAGAAATTTTAGTAAGCAAATTTGAACAAAACATAAGGCATGCCTCTGAAAATGCTTATTTTCGTCTTTTCCATATCCTCTAATTCAAAACAGTGTTGGGGACTAATACGATGCTAGCTAGAGATCCTTGCCCTCATGGGGCTTAACCTGGTTATCATCAACTAATACCAATTATTAATCTCTCTGATCACTAGGAAATAAAAATAGAACTGGTGGTCAGTCCATACAATGAGGTAAAGTCCAACATAAATAATTTGATTAAAGCATCCCTGTCCCCTTTGTTCTATATGTATATCTAATACCAAAAACAGCAGAATCTGGAATTAACCTGTCCTTTGATCTGATTTTGGCTTTTACCAACTTTCTGGATCATAATTTCTCAACTTTTACCCCTTGACTTTTTTAAACCCACGACTCTTGGGGCACCTGGGTGGCTCAGTTGGTTGAGCACCCAACTTTGGCTCAGGTCATGATCTCACGGTTGTTCGTGGGTTCGAGCCCCGCGTCGGGCTCTGTACTGACAGCCAGCTGAGAGCCTAGAGCCTGTTTCAGATTCTGTGTCTCCCTCTCTCTCTGACCCTCCCCTGCTCACGTTGTCTCTCTCTCTCTGAAATAAATAAAACATTAAATGTAAACAGATTTAAAGGAACTGGCTCCTAAGTAAAATCAGTCAACTACAGTGAGTGCCAATGTTTGTTCCACTATTTTACTCCAGTAACTGAGAAATGATGTTATCTAAATAAATCCTCCATGCCCTCTGCTCCTCCAGTACCTAGGCCTACTACTTGTTTAGGATTTCAACACCATTCTCTGTATAAGTAAACCACTGTTTAATGTTCTACGTTTATCAGTCCCCTGCCACATGATCAAACTGGTCCAACTCTTAATTTCCTTTAAATCTGATGTGAACTGGGTTAAAAAGTTAAACCAACCACCTCAAGAACAATGAAGTGTCCCAATTATTTAAGGCCAAACCTACATGGACTAAGGGAAAAAAACACACGCATCTCAGAAATTTTATTAAATCCTCCCTGCTGACTTAATTACTGCTACAATTTACTGAAAAAGCATCAGGTACTTTGTATACTCATACAGATTAAATAAAAGAGCTTAAAAGAAAGCATTTTCAAAAACAAAGTCAGCCAAGTCCTTAAACAAGAAACCAAACATCTGTGTCCTTGATAAACAGGGTTTCTTATAATAGATACAAAAATAAATACAACTAGGGATGCCTGGGTGCCTTAGTTGGTCAAGCCATCCAACTTCTGATTTTGGCTCAGGTCTCGATCTCAGGGCTGTGAGTTCAAGCTCCATGCTGGACGTGGAGACTACTTAATAAATAATACAACTGACCAACTCAACTCTTATTTAGAGTTTCTCAATTTCTACACCACTGACGTTCTAGGCTAGGAATTCTTTAACACCATCTCCAGCCTCTCTTCATTAGATGTCAGTACCAAAACCCCCACCCTGCTGTGACAACCAAGAATGCCTTGACACTGTCAAATGAACCCTACGTGGGTGAGATAAAATTGAGAACCACTGGTTTAAGTGGGTTTTACATCAGTAAATAAAAGGACAAACAAAAGGGAATGAATGTCTGCCCCTTATAAAGAATAGGATTCCTTCAGTTTTCTCAGAATGTTTTCCTATCACTTCATTCTTTTAGTAATAAAAGTACCAACTTACAGATACTGAAGTGACAAAATTACTGATTAGCTGCTAGATCTTTATTTCAAAAGAGGACGCCTTAAAGCACTATAAGCAATAAAGCTTATTTGTTGTACAATGCAGCCCTACTTCTGCAACTTTAACTCTTATTTCTTATTTAGGAAGGAGAATTCAGAATGCTCTTAACATTCAGATGAGGCTCTGTCAAAACTTAAGTTTCTTAATTTTAGATCTTGCCAGACTAAGTCCCACTTTTTTGTAGGGTTACCAATTCTTTTCAATGTTAGTAAAAGAACAGCTAGGAAACCAGAAAGTGTCATAAAAACCTATACACGATCATGGCAGCATTATTCATAATATGCAAAACCTGGAAATAACCCAAATTCACATCAAACAATGAATGGTTAAGTAAAATGTAGATGTCTGTACAATAGATTTTGCAATAAAAAAGAATGTGTACTCATACATCCACCAATATGGATGAATGCTAGAAATATGCTAAATGAAAGAAGTTAGTAACAAAAGTCCATATATTATATGATTTAACTTATATGAAATGTTCAAAATAGGTAAATACCAAGAAACAGATGGTGGGGAAAATGACTTTAACATGCAAGGCATTTCTTTCTGGGAAGTCAATCTTGCCAAACCCTCCAAAAGGAAAAATGAATTAATGACTAACATGCTTCCTGAAAGAAACAATACAGTGCAAATGCAATCAGATCACCTGTACCAGTGCCTAGAACTAGACTAACCCTGCTGCTGTTTAGAGCCCATCCATGACAAGAGGTTTCATACAATGCAGTATCATGAGGTCGAGTGGCCTCACCTTGACTGCACTATAGTTGAGCATAATAGAGAATAAAAACCAAGTCAGAACTAATAAACTCCTCCACCTCGACCACCACCAGTTCAGTTACATGACTCAACTTCTTTGGACACAATCTGAGCAAAATGCCCTATCACCTTTCCACACTCAATTTGGTCATTTACGCAAAAAATTCACGTTAACCACTACACAAAACACCTTAGAACTTTTCTGTAAGTGAAGGGCTATAAAAATTCAAATTGACTTTGGTGTGGGCACTTGTAAATGTACTTACACGTAAGTAAAAATATGCACTTGGTTTTTTAAAAATAATACTCTGAAGTTAATTCTTTCCTCCACCATCATGAATAGTGAATGAATTCTAGGATGCTTTGAAACTAATGCAAAGTGGTAGAGTATTCTATCAAGCCATACATATATGGTATGCAAATTATACCTTAAACCTGTTTCAAAGTGTGTATATACAGATTTTAAAAATGCCATGACCTAGAAACACTATATCTTATTCTGACACTACTTCCTGTATTTGTCCTTGAATTTTCCTGAGTTTTAATCTTGACCTTCTTAATCTGCGTATCCTACTCCCAGAGTAACAAACATATGGTAGATGATGGGATTTGAAAATAGGTAATACAGGTGGTCCTCACTTTTCAAAATTTTGCATCATGTCATTTTACTTTTATGATTTACATCGTTACCCTATCCCATCGTTTTTCCTAACCAAAAGAAATCCAAAGAGGATCTTTGTTCTTAATAACAACAATGCAGCAAAGGGGCACCTGGATGGCTCAGTTGGTTGTTTTGACTTCGGCTTGGGTCATAATCTCAGTTATTGAGTTTTGAGACCCAGCCCTCCATTAGGCTCTGTGCTGACAACTCAGAGCCTGGAATGCTCTGTGCCCCTCCCCCACTAACGTGTGCACTCTCTCTCAACAATAAACTTAAACAAAAATGAAAAACCAAACCTGTTTATTAAAAAAGAAAAAAAGTGAAAATAGCATTCAGGGTGTTTTGCAGCGAGGCACTATAGAGACAGCACACTTCCTACCGAGAGTGGCACATCCAAGCTTGTTCCCCAGACCTATACGCAGCATCAAGCCACTATAACTTTGAATTGTGTCTGTAAGCATCTGTGCTTTACCTTGATTTATTTTGTTAGCAAGATGTGTCCTAGGTATCAGTAAAACTTGTGATTATTTTTTGGATTTGGGAGTGTTCAAAAAAAACAAAAACAAAAACAAAAACACCCAACACTTCACTATAAACTAATGGTTAATTGCTTCTTTGCTTTATGCCACTTCAGCTTACAAAATGCTCTACTTTTGGGGTGTCTGGCTCTTGATTTCAGTTCAGGTCATGATCTCAGGGTCACAGGATGGAGCCCAGCCTCCTTGAGATTCTCTTTCCCTCTGCCCCTTCCCCACACTGTCTCAAATAAAAAATTAAAACAAAACCCAAAACGCTCTACTTTTGGCTAGCAGGGGAAACCTGTATGTGAACAGCATATACTGAAACTATTTTGAATTATAAGGACCAGCACTGTATGAAAAAAACTACTAGACACCATCGTCTTCTCATGAAAATGATCAAACAAGATGCCACACATGGAATTTTCAAAAAGTGTTAGGTAAATTAAAGGTCTTCTGTGCATACAAGCACAAATTTCCAATTTGAAAGCATTTGTCTCAAAAAATGTTAACCTGTATCAAACACATTTGATTCCCTGTAAGGAGAGCAGTTCAACAGCCTGCTCTGGGGCACTTTCTCTTCTTGAAAATCAATAATGGTTCAACTGGCTACTGGTATTGCAGCAAAGAATTTTTCAGTCTCATTTACAAGAGGCCTGTGAACTTTCATCATGGATTTTTTCTTTCTTCTTTTTTTAAATGTTTATTTTTGAGAGAGAGACAGAGTGCAAACGGGGTGAAGGGCAGAAAAAGAGAGACACAGAACCTAGGCAGGCTCTGAGCTGTCAGCACAGAGCCTGATGAGGGGCTGGAACTCATGAGCTGTGAGATCATGACCTGAAGTGAAGTTGGACGCTTCAACCAACTGAGACACCCAGGCACCCCAAGAATAGTCTCATTAACACAGCCATATCTGGGAATATCAATGACTCAAAAAAATCAGTGAGACTGGAAAAGTTGCAAAGTGGGAAAAGAAGTGTGACAAATCCCAAAGTCCTTAAGGGTAGACTGTCAGATGTAACCTTGTCCTCTCAGATACCAGTATAGTGTCCCTTTACAAATACAAAGCTAAGATTTATGGAACCAAATTAAAGACAGGAGATGAGGGCTTCAAAGGGGTAGAGTAAATGTGGAAGAACGGGAGAAGGGGACATCACCAAGTAAATCTCTTTAATCAGACCAGATTTCACTCAATTCTGTAACATGAAGGACAGACACGCTAATGTGTTCCAACTCTAAAAATGATACCAGTTACGGTGAAAGGGAATATAAGCTTTTCACTAAATTATGACGCTGAACTGCAAAGATGGAAAATCCAGGCCAAGTACTCTAATTTAGATGTTTTTGGGTAGATCCCCAAAATGTGATGACATGGAAGCCAACCTTGTTATTTCCAGGTTGATAGTGGAGAAGAGTCAGGAGGTTCAAAGATTTCAACCTTGCTCTGCTACCTGCAGCCATGTGACCTTGAAAAATAATTTCACTTTTCTCGGCTGGGAGACACCACCATCTGCCTATATTATCTCACAGATGATCAAACTAGACAACATAACACAAAAGTGCCTGGTCAACTGTCAAGAGCTGTATCAATAAAAGGCATTATGTTCCAGTGCACCTCAATTCCCTTAACATTTTCCAAAAACATACATAATTCTTAGCCTCCTATGTAACAGAGGAGAAATTCTTGGTGAGAAAGGAGTGTCCAGAGATAGCAGGGGTTTGAGCAATGCTTCACAGAATCAATGATCAAGCGGGAGAAATAAACTAACCTCCCCCAAACTAAAATGAATGCTGAAAATGCTCCACACCGCACTGCCAGGTCAATGTGAAATGTCAGGGAGACTTGTAGGACACTGGTATCCCCTACTCCAAACTCGTCTAAAAAAGAAACTTGCACTATCCACTAGTTATTTTAAAAGTACTCCCCAGGAGTTGTGCAGGTATCTTAAAAAAAAAAAAAAAAGCTCAACTGTCGGCGCTATCAAAATAAGCCAAAATGGAAGCTGTCAAGGGATCTAACCTTGTTCACCATTTTATCCATCCCCAACACCTAGAATTTTGTCTAGCTTATAGTCTGCGGTCAGTAAATACTATTGGTTAAGAAAAAAAGCCTGGAGAAAATCTAGGTCTCGCTCTTTGCTCTCTCTCCTCCAACACGTGGGCGCGCCACACTGGGTTCCCCACCCCCACCGAACTCCACTAGGTTCAGCCTCGAAGTCTAACAAATTTACCCTGAGAAGAATACACGGCCTGGGCCACACTCTGAAAAGGGAACTGCAGAGAGTGGAAGGACATGAAGGAAAGCGACACATGGACGTAAAACCTTCCCATCTGGGCTCTCACGCGTGCTTCTAAGGCGCGCCCGGTCGCTGCTACCCTCGTCTCTCTCACCGCGCACGCGCGTCGTCGCCTTCCCCCGCCCCTCCACCGACTCGCGCTCGTGTTCTAACTGCCCCCCCTCTTTATTCCCCTGCCCCCACTGCCGTCCACAACGGCCTCGCGCCTAGGAGACGTAGTCTAGTGTGCACCCGTCCGCGCGCCAACCGCCTCCTTCCTTCCTCCACGCGGACACTGTGCTTCACGTCTATGAGAAGGCCTCACGCCTCCCACAGATCTTTCTGCGCCTCATCACTCCAACTCAAGCCAGAGTCCACCATTACTCCCCGCTCCAACCTTGCGCTGACGGGGTGAAAAGGGTGTGAGGGGGGAGGGGAAGGACACGTTCCCCTCCCCCCAAACATCCCGAGGCGATAACCTAACATGGCGAAGCCGCCAGCCTGCCGCAGCCCCAGAGTCCGAAGGACAGCGGTGCCGCCCGCTCCCCGACTCCAGCGAATCGGTGGATCACGCTCGGAGAGTAGCTAATGAGCCTGGTCCTTGGCCGCGCTCGGCCGCTCACTCACCTGAGGCCGCCATGTTGGGAGAGGGAGAGAGAACGCAAAGGACCCGGATGAGGCAATCACGTGATTATAGCGGGAGCGTCGGGCTGGGAGACGCGAAACTGGGAGGGGGCGGGGAAGTGAAGAGGGAGAGAGGAGGCGGGGTGGTGCTGCTCTAGGTTCGTAAAGCAGCGCGACGAGGTGGTGCGACGTCCGACGGGCAGACCTGCGCGACATGTGGCCAAAGCGGGGAGGCGGGGGGAGGGTGCCTGGGCTGTCGCGAAACCCCTCTCGCTTTACGTAGGACTACGCGCGGACGAGGGGGCGGGTCTCAAGATGGGCCGACTTCCTGCGAGTCCGGTAAGCGGAAGGGGCGGGGCGGGGTGTCCTGGTCCTAGTTGTCTGGGACCGAATGGAGGCGGGCTGGAACCCGGAATGGGAGTGCCACAATTGACTTTATGAAAGGGAAGATTCTAAATTTGTTTTCTTTTTATTTTCACCTGTGAAGACATATGTGGTTAATTTAATGAGCTTTAAAGAAATAACTTTCTGGTTAAAGCTAAACGAGTCCAATGTCTTGCATAAGGATGGTTTTAATTGGGCATTTAGAAGAAATAATTACAAATATCGAACGCTTAATTACCACAGATTTTTACCTCATGTAGTCTTTCATTTTATGGAATAGGTTTAGTCAAATCCAGGCCCTTATGATTTCCCTGTGCTATCGCTGCTCTCTCTAGTTAATGCTACATTTTATTACATATTATTTCTATGCTGTATTAGTATTTTATTCAACGAAAATTATCATTGAGCGCCTACCTTGTGTCAGGCAGTTTATTGGCATTTTTTGATACAGCAGAAAGCAAAGTTCCAAAGGACGTTATGGTCCACTGAGGGAAAGAGACAATAAGCAGTGAGTAAATATAAGAAATGATAAGCACCCTGCAGGTAATTAAGGTGATTTGACTAAAAGATGATTAGGTGCAACTGAATTTTTAAAAAATTTTTGATTTTTTTTAATGTTTATTTTTGATAGAGCTCAAGCAGGGGAGGAGCAGAGAGAGAGGCGGGCAGAGAATCTGAAGCAGGCTCTGTGCCCACAGCAGTGAGCCCCATGTGGGGCTTGAACTCAAGCTGTGAGATCATGATCTGAGTGGAAGTCGGATGCTCAACCAACAGAGCCAACCAGGCACCCCTGGGTACACCTTTATATTGGCTGGTCAGGAAAGGCCTCTGAGGAATTGACATTTAAACAGATCTGGATTACAAATAGCCAGCCCTGTGAATGTCTTTAGGAAGAGCTTTAGAAGGTAGAGGATGTACAGCTAGCTCATAAGCTCCAGGGCAGGACCATCTTGGCCAGCTGAGGAATTTTATGGCTGGTAGCCAGGGTATGGCAGGGGAGTGGAAAGAGTGGTACAAGGTGAAGGTTGAGAGAGCGTTAGGGGTTGGATCATGTGAGCTTTTGTAAAATAGGTTTAGGAGTTTGGATCTTATCCAGGTGGGTTGGGAAAGCAGGGGAGGATTTTATGCACGAGAATGTCTGACTTGAAATGAAATTTTGAAAAAGATTACTTAGTGTCTTGATGTAGGTGGTGGTTACATGAGTGAATATGTAAAAGCTCTTCAGAATTAATGATACAATTATATTCTATGACTGTTGACAGAATGATCAATATACTAATATTATACATTAGAACGTTTTTGAGCTAAACATTTGTTTTTTTTTTTTTTTATAGTTTTAAACTAAAATGTTTTTAAGGTCCCCTAAAAGTACGGTGGAGCCCAGGCACTGTGCGTGCTATACCTACTGGATAAGTTGATCTGGTTGCTGTAATCCCGGTGAGAGAAGTTTGTGCCTTAGATGTGAGTGTAGGGATGGAAAGAGACAGATTCAGATATATTTTGGAATTAGATTTGATGATTGATTAGATGTGAAGAGCACAAGAGAGGGAAATATCAAATCTGACTCCATGTTTTTGCCATGAACACCTGGATGATACCATTTACTTAGGTGGCAAAGCCTGGTGTGGAGCAGGTTTGCAGAGGTGCATGGGCTCTGTTTTGGCTATATTAAGTCTGAGATAGGTACTAGTCCAGTACTATGTTTTGATGAATTTACATATCATCTGGGGAATATGTTAAAAGTCAGATTCCAATTCAGTAGGACTGGGGCAAGCCTGAGATTCTGTATTTCTTCTGGTTTGGATCATTAAAAGGGAAGGATATTTGGGAATTAAGGAAAAATGTGTTGGCTGTTGGGGACAGTAGATTTCAGAAAGTTCACAGAAAAGGTAGATTAGATTGGGACATGGTGGGTAGGGAGAGACTTTTCATTATCAAGCACCTAATCTATTTATAGGGTTATATCAAGCACTTAAAAGCTAGCTTATTTAGTCCTCACAGTGGCCCTCTAAGGTAAGTATTAACCCTGTTTTAATTTTTCTAAGTTTATTTGTTTTGGTGGGGGGGTAGGAGGAGGAGAAGGAGAGAGTGAGAGAAACAGAGAGTGAGAGAGAGAGAGAGAGAGAGAGAGAGAATCCCGAGCAGGCTCCACGAGAGAGAGAGAGAGAGAGAGAAAGAGGGAGAGAGAATCCCAAGCAGGCTCCACACCATCAGCACAGAGCCCAACAGGCTCGAACTTGTGAACAGGGGATCATGACCTGAGCCAAAACCAAGAGTCAGACACTTAACTGATTGAGTCACCCAGGTGCACCTTAGTCTTGTTTTTAGATAATGACTCTGAAGCCAGAAACAATATGTACATAACCAGCAAGTGGCACAGCTGCAAACCCAGAGCTGTCAGGTCCAGGTTCTTTCCAGTTTCCCAAAAACTTCTTAAAAAATAAAGAAAACTGTTAAAATAAAAAAAAAAAGTCTACGGCAACTACTTTGTATCATTTGTTCTGAAGAAACCCAGAGGAATAAACTGTTAATTATCCATTGCTATATAATGAATCACTCTAAAACTTACTGGCATAAAACAATAAACATTTTATTATCTCAGTTTCTGTGGGTCAGAAGTTGGTTATCAAAAATCACTTGCCAAGTCCTGATATTTGCAGTGTCTCATATTTGTATCCTGTTTTCCGTGTTCCTGTTATTTCCCTTGTCATTTCTCACCCTGGCCACTACATTAGTTCCTAAAGAGTCTTCCTGACTATAGACTTTCCTGCCCCAATCCATGTAGTAAGTAGCTACCAGATTGATTTTCCTAAAGCCTAGGTCTGAATACATTCCCCTGCTGACTACCTTCCATGACTCTATGGCCCAGGCAGACATGCAAGGCTGTGTATGCTCCAGCCACAAATTCCTGGTTCACTCTTACTTTCTCTTGTCCTCCCTTGTCTAATGTCATGTTCCAGTCATGGATACCCAGAGCTTTCCTAATGTTGGATCTTTTTCCTCTTTGCTCTTCTCTCTGCCTGGAATACTCTTTCCTCTTTCACTACTGAATGGGTCACACACACACAAAAACTATCTTTCTAGGGCTCTTCTAATGTCACCTTTTCTACGGAGCCTTTTCTGAGCTTCTTCCTCTGAACCCCACCAGGACTGTGTCTGCACCTGCCTTTTGACACTTATCACCTTCCTTCTTGAACTGCCTTTCCTCCTGGTCTGTCAACAACTCCAGGGTGGCATCCGTTTTGGTTATCTTTGTGATACTTGTGCACTAGCATCTGGAACACTGTTAGTGCTCAGTATATATTTGCTGGTGCCAAAGTCAAATTTTCAAGGAATTTACATTCATTCGGGAGATTTTCAAGAAGTTCTCATAATGCATATCGACTTATATGTCTAGATTCATTTATTGTTCATTGAACTGGAAATCATAGCTCTTAAAAGGAGTGGCTTCTTTCATAGAAATAAAGCAAAAAAAAAAATTTCCTTTAGACTGACTAGTCAAAACTGAAAAATGTTTGGAAAGAAACTAAGTTAAAAACAAAGCAAACAAGCAAATGCATGTAAGTTTATATTTGTTTTCTGGAGTCTGAATTTACTAATTGGCTTAATTTAGTATTTGAGGTTCTTAAAATTGTTCCTTACAGTTGTCATTGAAATTGTCCAAATTTTCGTTTGAAAACTACCCTTTATGGGGGTGCCTCTGTGACTCGGTTGAGCATTCAGCTGGCTCAGGTCATGATCTCACTGTCCGTGAGTGAGCCTTGCGCTGGGCTCTGTGCTGATAGCTTGAAGCCTGGGGACTGTTTCAGATTCTGTGTCTGTCTCTCTCTCTAACCCTCCCCTGCTTACGCTCTGTCACTCTCTCTCAAAAATAAAATAAAAAAATAATAATTTGAAAACTGCCAGTTTTCTAATATATATATTTAGAAACAATTATGTGGAAGCTTGACCTTTTTAAAATCTCAGCTACATTAATAAGTTTTAGTTGAAGCATCCCCTCTGTCTCCTCCTAAGCCTTAGTAGTTTAATCTGTAAAATGAAGGCATTAAATTAGATGATTTCAAAAATCTTTTTAAAAGCTTTGTCATTTTATGCATCTGTGATGCTGATTGTCGATATTGTGATCTTCCTCCTGGTGAATTTGGCAAAAGCATTTCTCAGACAGCCAGGACAAAGCTAATCCATTAATAATGGAATATGGTTCATATACCAGTTACTTCGGTTTTGTTAAGCTTAGGCAGCTGAAATAAATTATTGTTTGCTGCTTTATGTACTCACAATCCAAGCAAAATATATCAGTGCTTTAAAGATGTGGTTCTCCAAAATAAAAGTTTTTGTCACTGAGTTTTGACTGTGTAAGTTTAGCCTTAAATATATACATATTATATATTATATAAGGGTTCTGTTTCTGGCATGGTAAATAAGTTCCCAGAGGATCAACTCTCTCATAGATAAAAGTAAATTCTGGACAAAAATTGTGAAAACCCACAACTATCTGAAAGTTGTGGAGCAAAGGCAAACAGATTTTGGAGGGGAGCTGAAACTTGGAAAAAGGTAGCAACATGGGGGTTACAGCCTGGTGTGGACCAGGGTGGCTAAGGAAGCCTGGCACAGTTCTGTCATTTCAGGAAGGCATTGCCCAGGACAGTTTCTGCTCTCACAAAGTGAGGAGGAGTCTTACAGAGAAAAGAGTCAGAGTTCTGGTGTTGATTCTGCCCAAGTGTCTGGCCAGTCCTTGTACCATGAATACATAAAGCAGGCTGTAAACAGTTCAGCTGAGGAAAGGGGGGAAAAAAAA